GGCATGCATATTCATTACTCATTACTCGAAATATGTTGAGCATTGAGCAGTAGTAGTTAAGATATTGGAAACTAAACTCTCTAAAACAATTCAATTTTTGAATAAATTTCAGCAATATACATATCCCCAAAACTTTGACACAAGTTTCAATGTTTGAATTTCACTCTCAAATTATAATACCGACGGAGACGCGTGCCATGTAAACAGAATATATAGTCCATGTTAGTGCTTCAATTAATTACCATCACTTGCCAACTTGAAGATCAGGAGGAAGACAAAAGAAAAAAAAAAAAAAAAAATATATATATATATATATATATATACACAAATATAGAGAATATTTATGATAGGACATGTACTTTTACTCCACTCATAATTATTATTATTTTTAAAAGTAATAAGGCATTCTTATTAAAAATTTATAGTATATAATAAAGAATTATTTTTATTCTAAATCAGACCGTTAAAAAACTAATTTAACAGTGAAATACAGTTTTTATTAGTGGAGCAAAATACTCTTTTTCACCGTAAGTGCACTCATATATATGTATATATGTATAATGCATTAGATATTTATGACATTTATGGGGTGTAGTACTGCACTGTGCCCGCATACTAAGCTGATCATCATGATGATCAAAGCTCAAAGTATAATAACATTCACCTAAAAATGATGCCTTTGCACCAACAACTACTACCTCCATCCCCATTTTAAATAGTTATAATATGTGTAACCTTTTATGTCATTTCCTGTATAATTTCAGGGTAATATTTTATGCAAAGTAATTATTTAGCAAAACACATATAATTACTGCTCAGAAAAGAAAAGGCTTTCTGGACAGAATCACGCATGCATGTCCAATTAATAATTTTAACGACTGTGGTTCTACAGTTTATGAACCCTGGCAAGATCATTATGAACAGTTAAGTCACAAACTTAATTATATTGAATGGATAGATCAGAGACGTACCTTCTGATCTCACCCTTTTTTTGTTTTTTGTTTTTTTTTTGAACGAAGGGATTGTACTTTGGCCCAAAAAAGTGAAAAGAGAAAATTACGTGCATTAAAGGGGTTTGTTGGGTTGGTTGAATGTTCTCGTATGGGCCCTGCCTTCTTGGCTCCTTTTATTGAGTCAATTTACGTATTAAATAAAAATATATTTAAGTTTTGATTAAAATTACGTATTAAAAATTTATATAAGTTCTTTTTTTTTTTTATACAAATTCGATGGTCTTTCATTGTTTATTTTTTTAATGCCTATCAGAGAAATCTCAGTATATCAATTTTGAACTCTTTTCCTGAAATATATATACAAAAAATTAATGAAAATCTAGAATAAGTTATCTGTACATGCATAAATTCAGGCCGGCCATACGAGCCTTGAATAAAGATACTCGTGTTAATCTTTCAACACGTAAAATATACTATAAATCGAGAAATAATATAAGCATATATATATATATATATTTATGGGAAGGCTTAGCAAGGGATGGGGTTCTTCTTCCTTTTTTGGTCTTTTAATATATTTAAAGAGGGGTATTGGTGCGGGACCGATTTCTCTTGTAAGTGCCAATCTAACTGCGACGTTGATTGACGGAACAATTGCTCCTAAAAGTTTCAACAGATAAAAAAACCGCAATTAAATTTTGTTAAAAAACATTCGGGACCATGCTTCAGATATGCACTATATAAGAGTAAGTTCGGTAATTTTTTATTTTAAAAAAATCTTGCTATTTACCTTTAAAATATTGAAAATAACCCACACACTATCATATAAGGACACCAATGGACACTTTTGGTCTTTCATGAAGAGTCTTTCATTGTAAAGGAACAATTTTTCCATCCATGCATCTTCTTCTTCACTCACTCTCTCTTATTATTATTATTAATTTTTTTTTATATATAAAAACATGCATCTCATTTACAAGGAAGCATATTTATCAAAACAGTTGATACAGGGAGTGACAAAGAAACTGATAGAAAAAGTGATGTTAACCTTTTTTTTTTTTTTTGAATTGTCAAAAATATATCTAATATTAATAGCTAACGAGCAATAGCCTATCTACAATAGGATAATACTATAATTGAACATTTTATTGACTAATTAACTATGAAATCCACGTGTTATAACACAAGAACATACACAATTTTATTTAAAAAATTTTATCATTACACTACATTAATGTAGTTTTCCAGAAATATATATGTATATTTCAGAATCCACCCTAAACACCACACGTTTAAAACCATACTTCCATGGGCACATCCAACTAATAGGTTTGAGGCGCCCTAGCGATACAGGCTGTCTATCAATTCTGCTAGGAAATTTTGAATACTATGACGCCAATTGATCCATCTGTTTTATTTTAAAAGGGGAAAAAAAATGATATAGACGCGTACAGTGAAATTATGATTGCTACATATATAATATAATAAGGGTACATAAATATGGATAATTTAGAACTCCAGTACTTAATCATCTAATGTTAGTTCTTAATTAATGTATCCCCAAAACCAGCAATATGACTTCTAGAGAATTTATACCTCAACATATGATTAACGTTTCAGAAATATATATGTATATGTATATATATAAACATAAATATGAATATATATAATTCTAAAAATTAAAATTAAAACTTTTTCGTTGTATACAGGTTATTTAATGATTGACTGTATATATTGTTTATTAGTTTGGAATTATAAGTATACAGAAACATTCTTACATATAGTGGCTCTGATACAGTGCCGCATCTAATGATAACAGATATGTATGTGCTCAAAATTCGTGAAAAGACAACTAACCCAATTAATTTTCATGATCCATTCATCCACCAAAATTTTTTTTGGACATTTTATTATTATTATTTTAATTTTAAGGCGGGAGATTTGAACTAGATTTACATCTTATGTGAGTGTCCAATCTATCATACCCATCCGCAAGAGTTGCTCTTTGTGGTATTTGTCTATTTATTTAGTTGGTGGCATTTGTCACTACAACAATAAAGGTCATTTGCGACGACATTTTTTACAACGACAAATGTCGTCGTAAATAATACAATATTTACGACGACATGTTGTCACAATTACTCTCCGTTAAATAAAATAACCATGTCGTCACTAATAACTTAAATGTCATCGCAAATAATTTTGGAGCGCAAATTTCAATTTGCGATGACATTTCGTCGTAAAAATCCCTTTTTCTTGTAGTGTGTGCTACAATGTCTTGACTCTTAATTGATTGGAGATTTCTTTGGGGTCTTATTTTAAAAAAGCGTCATATGTGTTCGTTTCTTGGTGTGTCGGAGATACTTCCGTTATCGATGTCTGACATACGTTTTACCTACAGTGTGATTAATTCTATTGATGGAGCTGGTCTTTTGAGGGTTATGCTTTATATTAGTAGGACATTCACATGTAATATTTGTTTTTAATTGAGTGAAATCTTCCATTTCCTTTGAAAAAAAGGTTGGTATAAAAAAAAAGTGAAATTCTCGGCAGTTAAAGTATGTCTGTAACTACAAAATTAAACATCTTATTATCGAATGAATGTCAATTTTTTACATTCAATTAGATTGGTTCTATTGATGGATGACAATCCAAACATCCTTTTTTTTTTTTAACTAAGTACTGATCTCCTGAAACTTATCTTAATTCATGGTTTAAGCATTTCTTTTATTTAGTAATAGCTATCCACCGCATTTAGTTGTACGCAGGTTGGACAGGACTTGATGGGATCCGTTCTATTTGATTGTTTTAGGTACATATTGTATTAATGGATTGCTCTCCAATTTCGAAATTCATTATATATGTATGGGGTTGGATGGTGGATATATCTTGAATAAGCAAAAATTTATTTAAAAAAAAAAAATAAAACCGAGTTTAAATATAATGCATATTTGACACAGTTTCTTACATCTTTTATATTTTTTCTTTCTTGTTAATAATATTAAAGTGATGGACTTGATAGAAGATATGTTTTATAAAAAGAAATGCCAACTTATTTAGAATGTCTCTGTGAACTTTGATATAATATATGGGTAGGTTTTATAAAAAGAAATGCCAACTTATTTAGATTGTCTTAGGTGAACTTTGATATCATATATGGATGTGGTTTTAATGGTTATTCGAATATTTACTCATCAATGAGTAATGGTATTTTAAGCGTAAGATATTTATCTAATGGTTGTAATAAATTAGATAGTTGATTAAAAAAATTAATGACAATTAATGAAATTAGATTCTTATCACGCCACAACATTAAATTTTTATATTTAATAGTAACCAATTAGAACCTAACCATTCAATATATATATATATATATATATATATAATCCATAAAAAATCTGTAAAACAAATCAAATCATAGAAAGAAGGACGCTAAGTGCTAAGGAGCGATTTTAAAAATAATAATAATTATTTCTTTTTCATTAGGAGCTCTAAATTTATTGAATTTTTGTATTGACCTTAATTAAGTTATCAAATTTTGTTAATTTGTTGGACAACGATTTCCATCTCTTTCTGAACAATTGTACGATTGTTCATTGCTAATGCATATTATCTGCTTGAGGCTACGACCTAAACAGTGTGGTGATATTAATTAGCTCTTTATCTCATAGACAACATATTCAATTGATGGTGGTCCAAGAGAAACTTGTTCCATTCCCCTATTTATGTACTGTGAACATGTCACTTCCTCGGTATCATGAAAATTTTTCCTTCAAAGATTAACGCGCTTTGAACAATAAAAGCAATATATATATATATATATATATATATATGTATATGTATATATGTATGTATATGTATACAAACGGGTCATATACAACTTACTACGAAGAAAGATAATTCTTGGAAAAAGACAACAATGCCCCCCAAGTGGTAGATGTCGATGTTAATGGCGATAGTTGGATTTCATTTATATCACTAGTCAGGTGGTGTTGGAAAGGCCATTAAAAGTGTCACAAAAAAATCTTAGCCTTTTTTTCCCATCCTTAAGGCCAAAGTTTTATAGGCCTCCTCTAGCTTAGTGAAACTATATAAAGAAGCATGTATCGCTTTTCCCATTCACATGCACAACATCTTTTTTACGTACGTAGTCCCATTCTCTTCCCATAAATATCACATTGTTCCCTTCTGAGCTTCTCATTCTTGATCTAGCTAATTCTTTGAAAGAAGGGGAGGAAAAAAATGGGGAATCAGAAGCCACAATCACAAAACATAGTCATAGAAAACAAACAAACTTCAGTGAAACTCAAATACGTCAAACTAGGTTACCACTACTTAATCTCCAATTTTATGTATTTTTCTCTCATTCCTCTCATTTTAACCCTAGCCCATCTGTCGCTGGAAGATCTCGCTCAGCTCTTTCACCGCCTCGACCTCGGTCTGGTATCCGGTACGCTCGTGTGCACCGCCCTGACCGTGTGCCTCGCCACGCTCTACTTCTCGTGGCGGCCGCGCGAAGTCTACCTCCTCGACTTCTCGTGCTTCAAGCCGGAGCCGGCGCTCATGTGCTCGCGAGAGACGTTCATGAGGCAGACGTCGCTCGCGGAGTTATTCAACGACGAAACCCAAGCGTTTCACCGCAAGATCATCGAGAGGTCGGGGTACGGGCAGAGGACGTACGTGCCGAAGGCGGCGTTGGAGGACGTGCCGTCGGCGTCGATGGGCAAGGCGAGGGAGGAGGTGGAGATGGTGGTGTTCGGGGCCATCGACGAGTTGTTGGCGAAAACCGGGGTGAATGTCAAGGACATTGGGATCCTGGTGGTGAACTGCAGCTTGTTTAACCCTACGCCGTCGCTCTCCGCCATGGTCGTCAACCGGTACAAGCTCAGGGGTAACATTTTGAGCTATAGCCTTGGCGGGATGGGGTGCAGTGCTGGTTTAATTTCCGTTGACCTAGCCAAACGTTTGTTACAGGTTTGTGAAATTAAGGGGTGAATGTCAAGGACATTGGGATCCTGGTGGTGAACTGCAGCTTGTTTAACCCTACGCCGTCGCTCTCCGCCATGGTCGTCAACCGGTACAAGCTCAGGGGTAACATTTTGAGCTATAGCCTTGGCGGGATGGGGTGCAGTGCTGGTTTAATTTCCGTTGACCTAGCCAAACGTTTGTTACAGGTTTGTGAAATTAAGTACCACATGTTAGTCATCTCAATTACTGAGTTACATATATATATATAT